GTGTATATACAGTTGAAGTCAGAAGTTTACATACACTTAGGTTGGAGTCATTAAAACTCGTTTTTCAACCACTCCACAAATTTCTTGTTAACAAACTATAGTTTTGGCAAGTCTGTTAGGACATCTACTTTGTGCATGACACAATTAATTTTTCCAACAATTGTTTACAGACAGATTAATTAACTTATAATTCACAGTATCACAATTCCAGTGGGTAAGAAGTTTACATACACTAAGTTCACTGTGCCTTTAAACAGCTAAGAAAATTCCAGAAAATGATGTCATGGCTTTAGAAGCTTCTGATAGGCTAATTGACATCATTTGAGTCAATTGGAGGTGTATCTGTGGATGTATTTCAAGGCCTACCTTCAAACTCAGTGCCTCTTTGCTTGACATCATGGGAAAATCAAAAGAAATCAGCCAAAAAAAATGGTGCAATTTCCAAATGCCTGAAGGTACCACGTTCATCTGTACAAACAATAGTACGCAAGTACAGTGAGGGAAAAAAGTACTTGATCCCCTGCTGATTTTGTACGTTTGCCCACTGACAAAGAAATGATCAGTCTATAATTTTAATAGTAGGTTTATTTGAACAGTGAGAGACAGAATAACAACAAAAAAATCCAGAAAAACGCATGTCAAAAATGTTATAAATTGATTTGCATTTTAATGAGGGAAATAAGTATTTGACCCCCTCTCAATCAGAAAGATTTCTATCTCCCAGGTGTCTTTTATACAGGTAACGAGCTGAGATTAGGAGCACACTCTTAAAGGAAGTGCTCCTAATCTCAGTTTGTTACCTGTATAAAAGACACCTGTCCACAGAAGCAATCAATCAATCAGATTCCAAACTCTCCACCATGGCCAAGACCAAAGAGCTCTCCAAGGATGTCAGGGACAAGATTGTAGACCTACACAAGGCTGGAATGGGCTACAAGACAATCGCCAAGCAGCTTGGTGCGAAGGTGACAACAGTTGGTCCGATTATTCGCAAATGGAAGAAACACAAAATAACTGTCTATCTCCCTCGGCCTGGGGCTCCATGCAAGATCTCACCTCGTGGAGTTGCAATGATCATGAGAACGGTGAGGAATCAGCCCAGAACTACACGGGAGGATCTTGTCAATGATCTCAAGGCAGCTGGGACCATAGTCACCAAGAAAACAATTGGTAACACACTACGCCGTGAAGGACTGAAATCCTGCAGCGCCCGCAAGGTCCCCCTGCTCAAGAAAGCACATATACAGGCCCGTCTGAAGTTTGCCAATGAACATCTGAATGATTCAGAGGAGAACTAGGTGAAAGTGTTGTGGTCAGATGACACTAAAATCGAGCTCTTTGGCATCAACTCAACTCGCCGTGTTTGGAGGAAGAGGAATGCTGCCTATGACCCCAAGAACACCATCCCCACCGTCAAACATGGAGGTGGAAACATTATGCTTTGGGGGTGTTTTTCTGCTAAGGGGACAGGACAACTTCACCACATCAAAGGGACGATGGACGGGGCCATGTACCGTCAAATCTTGGGTGAGAACCTCCTTCCCTCAGCCAGGGCATTGAAAATGGGTTGTGGATGGGTATTCCAGCATGACAATGACCCAAAACACACGGCCAAGGCAACAAAGGAGTGGCTCAAGAAGAAGCACATTAAGGTCCTGGAGTGGCCTAGCCAGTCTCCAGACCTTAATCCCATACAAAGTCTGTGGAGGGAGCTGAAGGTTCGAGTTGCGAAATGTCAGGCTCGAAACCTTAATGACTTGGAGAAGATCTGCAAAGAGGAGTGGGACAAAATCCCTCCTGAGATGTGTGCAAACCTGGTGGCCAACTACAAGAAACGTCTGACCTCTGTGATTGCCAACAAGGGTTTTGCCACCAAGTACTAAATCATGTTTAGCAGAAGGGTCAAATTCTTATTTCCCTCATTAAAATGCAAATCAATTTATAATATTTATGACATGCATTTTTCTGGATTTTGTTGTTGTTATTCTGTCTCTCACTGTTCAAATAAACTACTATTAAAATTATAGACTGATCATGTCTTTGTCAGTGGGCAAACGTACAAAATCAGCAGGGGATCAAATACTTTTTTCCCTCACTGTATAAACACCATGGGACCACGTAGCCGTCATACCCCTCAGGAAGGAGACGCGTTCTGTCTCCTAGAGATGAACGTACTTTGGTGCGAAAAGTGCAAATCAATCCCAGAACAACAGCAAAGGACCTTGTGAAGATGCTGGAGGAAACATGTAAAAAGTATCCACAGTAAAACTAATCCTATATCGATATAACCTGGAAGGCCGCTCAGCAAGGAAGAAGCCACTGCTCCAAAACCGCCATAAAAAAGCCAGACTAAGGTTTGCAACTGCACATGGGGACAAAGATCGTACTTTTTGGAGAAATGTCCTCTGGTCTGAAGAAACAAAAATAGAACTGTTTAGCCATAATGACCATCGTTATGTTTGGAGGAAAAAGGGAGCATCTTGCAAGCCGAAGAACACCATCCCAACCGTGAAGCACGGGGGTGGCAGCATCATGCTGTGGGGGTGCTTTGCTGCAGGAGGGACTGGTGCACTTCACAAAATAGATGGCATCATGAGGAAGGAAAATTATGTGGATATATTGAAGCAACATCTCAAGACATCAGTCAGGAAGTTAAAGCTTGGTCGCAAATGGGTCTTCCAAAATGACCCCAAGCGTACCTCCAAAGTTGTGTCAAAATGGCTTATTGACAACAAAGTCAAGGTATTGGAGTGGCCATCACAAAGCCCTGACCTCAATCCTATAGAAAATGTGTGGTCAGAACTGAAAAAGCATGTGCGAGCAAGGAGGCCTACAAACCTGACTCAGTTACACCAGCTCTGTCAGGAGGAATGGGCCAAAATTCACCCAATTTATTGTGGGAAGCTTGTGGAAGGCTTCCCGAAACGTTTGACCCAAGTTAAACAAGTTAAAGGCAATACTACCAAATACTTATTGAGTGTATGTAAACTTCTGACCCACTGGGAATGTGATGAAATAAATAAAAGCTGAAATAAATAATTATCTCTACTATTATTCTGACATTTCACATTCTTAATATAAAGTGGTGATCCTAAGTGATCTAAGAGAGGGAATATTTACTAGGACTAAATGTCAAGAATTGTGAAAAACTGAGTTTAAATGTATTTGGCTAAGGTGTATGTAAACTTCAGATTTCAACTGTATTCACTCAGTGGCCAGTTTATAGAGTACACCACCCCGTTCAGACAGTGAGTCACGTAGCCTTGGCTTGCTATATAAAGCAGGCAGACAGTCATCGAGGCATTCAGTTACTGTTCGATTGAACATTAGAATTGACAAAAGCGACTTTGAGAGTGGTATGATCGTCGGTTCCAGTATCTTGGAAACAGCTGTCCTCCTGGGCTTTTCACACCCAACAGTCTCTATGGTTTATCGAGAATGGTGCGACAAACAAAAACATCCTGTCAGCGTCAGTCCTGTTGGCGAAATCAGCACGTAGATGACAGGTTGAATGAGAATGGCAAGAATTGTGCAAGCTAACAGGGGGCCACAATAAGAAGATGCAGAACTGCATCTCGGAACGCACAACTTGTCAGTCGTTTTCACGGATGGGCCATTGCAGCAGATTACCACATTGGGTTCCACTCCTATCAACTAAAAACAAGAAGAAGAGGCTCCAGTGGGCACGTGATCACCAACACTGGAAAATTGAGGTGTGGAAAAACATTGCCTAGTTCCTGTTGCCTCATGCTGATGGCAAAGTCAGGATTTGGCTTAAGCAGCATGAGTCCATGGCCCCATCCTGCCTGGTGTCCCGGTACAGGCTGGTGGTGGTGGTGTAATGGTGTGGGGAATGTTTTCCTGGCACGTTAGGTTCCTTGATACCAGTTGAGCAATGTTTGAATGCCACACCTTGTAGAATCCATGCCCCAAAGAAATCAGGCTGTTCTGGAGGCAAAGGGGGGTCTGACCCGGTACTAGAGCAGCAGGTAGCTTAGTGGTTAAGAGCGTTGTGCCAGTAACCGAAAGGTCGCTGGTTCTAATCCCCGAGCCGACTAGGTGAAAAATCTGTCGATGTGCCCTTGAGCAAGGCACTTAACCCTAATTGCTCCTGTAAGTCGCTCTGGATAAGAGCGTCTGCTAAATGACCAATTATTTATTTATTTATTTATTTAGATGGGTGTAGCTAATAAATTGGCCACTGAGTGTATATTACGATGTATGCATGTCATATGACCTTTTGAACCTGCATGATTAAGAAATTAAGATGGGTGTTGTTAAGGAACATTACCGATGACAAAATAACTGACCCACCATTTGTTTTCCAGTTGGTGTCCCATCTATGATCTATTATCGATACTAGAATATTGCCTTAGCTATAAAGCTTAACATAAAGCTATAAAGCTTTATGTTAAGGAATATTACTGAGGTCAAAATAACAGACCCATCATTAGTTTCCTTTGCAGCTGCAAAGGAATACACTGCCAAACTGTATATCAGCTGTCAAACCGTATATCAGCTGCCAAACCGTTTATCAGCTGCCAAACCGTATATCAGCTGCCAAACTGTATATCAGCTATAGGAGGCTGAAACTGCACTTAGGCAGTAGGCTGGCTGTGTGCCTGTGCTCGTATATAAATCATCCTAAATTAATTATTGGCGCCAAGAGAATGTTGTCCTTGTTGCTGCCAATGTTACATTAATTCCTGTTTTCACTTACAGCCGTTGAAAATTAGCCGGCTTGCTAAATCTGGCACATTTACAGAAATGTTGGTTCTAAATGCCCCAAATAGTAATATTATACTGAATTATTTCCTTCCTCACCCATCCCAACATATTGAAATATGTCCCTGTCAGATAAACCAAATCAAGTAAAGTGAATCACTTTCTACAGTGATTTCATTACAAATGAAAACTATTATGATGACGAGGATATGATGAGGATAAGGATGATGATGAAGATAATGAGGATGATCATTTTATTCCTTTCTTACTCCCAGGATGTCGGATGACAGGATGACGGGCAACTTGTCTCTTTGGTCGGCGATGCCAATGTTCCCGCCAGAGAACTCCTCCTATAACTCCTCCCTCCCTCCGTCGTTCACCGACTGGGAGGCACCCACCTTCACCGCCGCTGCCCGAGTCCGCGTGGCCGCCACAATGGTCCTCTTCGTGTTCGCCGCCTTCTCTAACCTCTCCGTGCTGATTAGCGTGGCACGGGGCCGCGGGCGCTGCCTGGCTGCCCATCTCCGGCCACTCATTGCCAGCCTGGCCTCTGCAGACCTGGTGATGACGTTTGTGGTAATGCCTCTGGACGCGGTGTGGAACGTCACCGTGCAGTGGTACGCCGGTGATACCATGTGCAAGCTGCTGTGCTTCCTCAAGCTGTTTGCCATGCACTCGTCTGCCTTCATCCTGGTGGTGGTCAGCCTGGACCGCCACCATGCTATCCTACACCCGCTGGATGCGCTGGATGCCGGGCGCAGGAACAAGAGGATGCTGCTCATTGCCTGGGTCCTCAGCCTGCTCCTGGCCTCCCCACAGGTGGGTGTACATACGGTAGCATCTACATCGTTCTCAGACTACAGCCTAACAACATGGATAGTCAATTAGTAAGACTTCTATTTCTCTATTATGTTAGGAAGACAGTGGTCCACTTGAGATTGATTGCTGATCCACTATCTTACTACCCTGTTATCTACATTGAATATCACTCCATTTCACTATGGTTTCACTTCACTGAATCACTTTGCACCCACATTCAATTAATCATTTGCGTCTATGTTTGTAATGGTTATGCATAACAATGCGGTCCATGACTGGATCACCATTTACGAATCAGAAAACCACATCTTTTGATTGGCAAAGTTTTACCACGTGGGTCTTAAGCTAAACCTTACCATAGTTTCTAGCCGATCAAAGTGGCCTTTTACTGGAACAAGTCCAGACTGAATCAGTGTATTGGAGCAATAGTGAAATGGAGGGCTGTTCAGTTTGGATTCCAGGCTAGTAAGATAGCAGGGCAGCAATCGATCTTAAGTTGGTCACTATCTTCCTCACACAATAGAGCATACAGTCAGTGATCTGCCAATCAAATTAAGTCCTATGGGTAGGTGGGTGGTGCATTGTGAGGAAATGATATCTCAGCAAAAGATCATTCCCAAGGTTGGTGTATTCAACTGTAATTATATAGGACAAGCACACCAGCTCTTGATTGATGGCTGTAGTAATGTGAGTAGAATGGCTTAGAAGTGTAAGCAGCTGTAGCAGTTATCAGCTTGGTAACAAAGTGTTGCTATGATCAAATAAAATAATCAAATTGGCTGAGGAGGTCAGCTGCATATTGATAATAGTCCCACCCCAATCCAAACAGTAGTGCTGTGAATGATATAAGCCTTTAGCCACCCTGACAGGTAGGGAGAGATAGAAGGCAGGGAGGGAGAGAGAGATTGCTTTCACTCAAATGTATATATCCAATCATTTGAGATGTATTGTCAATTGGTCTTTAGAAACAAACCATGTGGATTTATGCAATTTTACTCATATTCAAAAAATATATATTTTGCAATATTTTTGTATTTACATGTATTTCATGCCAATAAGCACTGATTTTGAATTTGAATTGAGAAATGAGGGAATAGATTTCATTCCATGCTCACAGATCAATTTCTAACCGAAAGTACAGTACTTTGGATGCTCCATCAATTCCAGTTCTGAGTTGAAGGCCCCATTGCACTGCCCTGAGAGAAAATAGCTTTCCCTCCCCGCATGGCTAGATTTCTGAGTGTTCCCTCTTTTTTTTTTACTGTCACAGAGAGAGAGAGTTTTACCACAAATCCAGTCCCCTTAATGTCAGAGCCTCGGAGAGATGACATTTCTGGCTGTCAGTGGACACGACCTTGGAGGTGCTAGTCAGTGGCTGGTGTTCCAAATTAATAGGAAGAAGGGAAAAACACAGAACTTCTGCTGTAGGAGGAGGGATGGAGGGAGAGACACAAGGCGGGGGAGCCAGTCGACCGTGGAGAAGGGAGAGAGATGTTAGCTCAGAGAAAGGAGGGTGGGTGGTGAGTTGTGGAGAGATCAATATGGCCACTTTACAAACCATACACACACACTTGACATGGATGGTCATTCTACGGGAAATGCATGTTCCTGGTTAGGCAATTAAGGCAACCCATCATATGGTGACTGAACACAGCACTGGTGACTGTGGCTGTGAAGAGAAATAAATGGAAAATTGAATCCATCTCATTTACTACGCACACACACACACACTTTCTATTATGATAATCAAGTAGCAGATATTTTGTGCAGACAGAAGCCATCTATGAAAAATGTATGCACTCACTAAACTGTAAGTCGCTCTGGATAAGAGCGTCTGCTAAATTACTAAAATGTAAATGTGAATCTCATCTTGAGTGTTACCATGTTTATGCTTACTAATTGACCAATGACTTTCAAAGATTGGTGGAGTTGGTCAGGGGTTAAAGTAATTCAGCACAAAAACTGGTTGAATCAACGTTGTTTTCACATCATTTCAACAAAATAAATCTATGTGATGACATTGAATCAACGTGGAAAACTGATTTGATTTACAGAAAGTCATCAACTAAAGCTTTTAGCCTAAATCCAATGACATGGTGACAGATTTGTTCATTTCATGTTGAATTCACGTTAGTTGAATTTACCAAATGTACACTGAACAAAAATAGAAAACGCAACATGAAACAATTACAGCTCATATAAGGAAATCAGTCAATTGAAAGAAATTCATTAGCCCTAATCTATGGATTTCACATGACTGGGAATACAGATATGCATCTGTTGGTCACAGATACCTTAAAAAAAAGAGACATGGATAAGAAAACCAGTCAGTATCTGGTATGACCACAATTTGCCTCATGCAGCACGACACATCTCCTTTGCATAGAGTTGATCAGGCTGTTGATTGTGGCCTGTGGAATGTTGTCCCACTCCTCTTCAAGGGCTGTGAGAAAATGCTGGATATTGGCTGGGACTGGAACACGCTGTCGTAAACGTAGATCCAGAGCATCCCAAACATGCTCAATGGGTAACATGTCTGTTGAGTATGCAGGCCATTGAAGGACTAGGACATTTTCAGCTTCCAGGAATTGTGTATAGATCCTTGTGACATGGGGCCGTGCATTATCATCCTGAAACATGATGTGATGGCGGCGGATGAATGGCATGACAATGTGCCTCAGGATCTCGTCACGGTACCTCTGTGCATTCAAATTTCCATAGATAAAATGCCTGCCCATACCATAACCCCACCGCCACCATGGGCACTCTGTTCACAACGTTGACATCAGCAAACCACTCGACCACACAATGCCATACACGCTGTCTGCCATCTGCCCGGTACAGTTGAAACCGGGATCCATGAAGAGCACACTTCTCCAGCGTGCCAGTGGTCATTTGAAGGTGAGCATTTGCCCACTGAAGTTGGTTCCAATGCTGAACTGCAGTCAGGTCAAGACCCTGGTGAGGATGATGAGCACGCAGATGAGCTTCCCTGAAACGGTTTCTGACAGTTTGTGCACAAATTCTTCGGTTGTGCAAACCCACAGTTGCATTAGCTCTCCGGGTGGTTGGTCTCAAATGATCCCGCAGGTTAAAAAGCCAGATGTGGAAGTCCTTGGCTGGCGTGGTTACACGTGGTCTGCGGTTGTGTGGCCGGTTGGACATAATGCCAAATTCTCTAAAACGATGTTGGAGGCGGCGTATGGTAGAGAAATTAACATTCAATTCTCTGGCAACAGCTCTGGTGAACATTCCTGCAGTCTACATGCCAATTGCACGCTCCCTCAAAACTTGAGACATAACTGCACATTTTGGAGTGGCCTTTTATTGTCCCCAGCACAAGGTGCACATGTGTAATGATCCTGCTGTTTAATCAGCTTCTTGATATGCCACACCTGTCAGGTGGATGGATTATCTTGGTAAAGGAGAAATGCTCACTAACAGGGATGTAAACACATTTTGGCACAACATCTTTGAGAAATAAGCCTTTTGTGCATACAGAACATTTCTGTGATCTTTTATTTCAGCTCATGAACAATAAACCAACACTTTATATGTTGCGTTTATATTTTTGTTCAGTATAAATGAAAACTAGACGTTGAAATTACGTCTGTGCCCAGTGGGAGGTGACTGAAAGCCGATTTTATTAGCACTTCAGTACAGCAGAACGGTGGCAAAGTGTACCCTCAATCGCCCTGATCAAAAGCAGCGGCAAAAATAGAATAGCGAAGTGAAGCTATCCCAGCAGGCAAAACTGGTTGCAGTGACGTTTATCCGACGTCTTCTGTAATGGCATGGTTGTATACTATTTGTAAAAGTTGTATTTTCCAGAAAGAAACATCTTTACCTAGGCGTAATATTGCTGACTTTTCTACAACCAGAAAAACAGTTTACATTCATATGTCATTATGATATGTCACCAACGTTTGTCTGCTATGATAGCTGTAGATATGGGGAAATTATGATGGAAGGGTTACAAGGGAAGGGAAGCTATTATCCTCTGGTTCCCCATGCCATTGTATTTGTGTAATTATAAGAAATATGTGTGTCTGAGAGTGATGTCTGCATACAGTGCCTTCAGAAATTATTCACACCCCTTGACTTTTTCAAAATGTTGTTGTATTACAGCCTGAATTTAAAATGGATTAAACTGATATTTTTTTCACTGGCCTACACACAATACCCCATAATGTCAAAGTGAAATTATGTTTTTCGAAATGTGTACAAATGAATTAGAAATGAGAAGCTGAAATGTCTTGAGTCAATAAGTATTCAACCCCTTTGTTATGGCAAGCCTAAATAAGTTCAGGAGTAAAAATTTGCTTAACAGTCACATAAGTATTATTATTATTATTATTATTATAAGTTGCATGGACTCACTCTTTGTGCAATAATAGTGTTTAACATGATTTTTGAATGACTACCTCATCTCTGTACCCCACACATACAATTATCTGTAAGGTGCCTCAGTCGAAAAGCTAATTTCAAAAACAGATTCAACCACAAAGACCAGAGAGGTTTTCCATTGCTTCGCAAAGAAGGGCACCTATTGGTAGATGGGTATATGAAAAAAAAGCAGACATTGAATATCCCTTTGAGCATGATGAAGGTATTAATTACACTTCAGATGGTGTATCAATACACATAGTCACTACAAAGATACAGGCGTCCTTCCTATCTCAGTTGCCGGAGAGGAAGGAAACCACTCAGGGATTTCACCATGAGGCCAATGGTGACTTTAAAACAGTTGCAGAGTTCAATGGCTGTGATAGGAGAAAACTGAGGATGGATCAACTACACTGTAGTTACTCCACAATACTAACCTAATTGACAGAGTGAGAAGAAGGAAGCCTGTACAAAATACAAATATTCCAAAACATGCATCCTGTTTGCAACAAGGCACTAAAGTAATACTGCAAAAACTGGCAAAGCAATTCACTTTTTGTCTTGAATACAAAGTGTTGTATGTTTGGGGCAAATCCAATACAACACATTACTGAGTACCACTCTCCATATTTTCAAGCATAGTGGTGGCCGCATCATGTTATGGTTAGGTTTGTAATCGTTAAGGATGGGGGAGTTTTTTCAGGATAAAAAAGAAACGGAATGGAGCTAAGCATAGGCAAAATCCTAGAGGGAAACCTGGTTCAGTCTGCTTTCCACCAGACACTGGGAGATTAATTCACCTTTTAGCAGGACAATAACCTAAAACACAAGGCCAAATCTACACTGGAGTCCCGTGTAGCTCAGTTGGTAGAGCATGTTGCTTGCAACGCCAAGGTTGTGGGTTCGATTCCCAAGCAGGGACCAGTATGAAAATGTATGCACTCACTAACTGTAAGTCGCTCTGGATAAGAGCGTCTGCTAAAATGTAAAATGAGTTGCTTAAGAAGACAGTGAATGTGGCCGAGTTAATGTTTTGACTTAAATCTTCTTGAAAATCAATGGCAAGACCTGAAAATTGTTGTCTAGCAATAACCAACAACCAATTTGACAGAGCTTGAATAATTTTGAAAAGAATAATGGGCAAATAATAATATACCATTTAGCAGACGCTTTTATCCAAAGCGACTTACAGTCATGTGTGCATACATTTTTACGTATGGGTGGTCCCGGGGATCGAACCCACTACCCTGGCATTACAAGCGCCATGCGCTACCAATTGAGCTACAGATTGGTAGAGCATGTTGCTCAATCCAGGTGTGGAAATCTCTTAGATTTACCCAGAAAGACTCACAGCTGTAATCACTACCAAAGGTGATTCTACAAAGTATTGACTCAGTTGTGTGAATACTTATGTAAATGAGATATTTCTGTATTTCATTTTCAATAAATAAATTAAATATAAATCCCCAAAAACATTCTCACTTTGTCACTATGTTGTATTGTGTGTAGATGGGTGACATTTGTATCTATTTAATCCATGTTGAATTCAGGCTGTAACACAACAAAATGTTGAATAAGTCAACGGTATGAGTACCTTCTGAAGGGACTGTAGCTGACAAAGCCAAAGAAAATATGCTGATTAAAATTGATTTTTGTGTGCACTTATTATTGATTATTGATATTGAATGCTGGTGATGGAGGAAGTGGAAAACAGAAGTGGAGTGTATGACAGTCTGTCATGAATTGCATGAAATACTGAGAAAGTGGAAGAATTTGCCTTAATAGGAAATTATAATACAGCAAAAGTAAGAAAAAAATATTATGCTAGTTAAAATCTTTTTTAAAGACTATTTGAAACATAAAAGCATAGACAGTTAATTTCCTCAATTCCAGATAGGAATGGAGGACCAGGGTAAGATGTGAGAGCAATATGAACCCTATCTATGGATCATACAGTGCCTTGCATTCATCTCCCTGCCGTTTTTCCTATTTTGTTGCATTACAACCTGTAATTTAAATGGATTTTTATTTGGATTTCATGTAATGGACATACACTAAATAGTCGAAATTGGTGAAGTGAAATGAAAAAAAATAACTTGTTTCAAATAAATTATAAAAAATAAATAACGGAAAAGTGGTGCATGCATATGTATTCACCCCCTTTGCTATGAAGCCCCTAAATAAGATCTGGTGCAACCAATTACCTTCAGAAGTCACATAATTAGTTAAATAAAGTCCACCTGTGTGCAATCTAAGTGTCACATAATCTGTCACATGATCTCAGTATATATACACCTGTTCTGAAAGGTCCCAGAGTCTGCAACACCACTAAGCAAGGGGCACCACCAAGCAAGCGGCACCATGGAGACCAAGGAGCCCTCCAAACAGGTCAGAGACAAAGTTGTGAAGAAGTACAGATCAGGGTTGGGTTATAAAAAAATATCAGAAACTTTGAACATCCCACGAAACACCATTAAATCCATTATAAAAAAATTGAAAGAATATGGCACCACAACAAACCTGCCAAGAGAGGGCCGCCCACCAAAACTCACGGACCAGGCAAGGAGGGCATTAGAGGCAACAAAGAGACCAAAGATAACCCTGAAGGGGCTGCAAAGCTCTACAGCGGAGATTGGAATATCTGTCCATAGGACCACTTTAAGCCATACGCTCCACAGAGTTGGGCTTTACGGAAGAGTGGCCAGAAAAAAGCCATTGCTTAAAGAAAACAATAAGCAAACATGTTTGGTGTTCGCCAAAAGCCATGTGGGAGACTTCCCAAACATATGGAAGAAGGTACTCTGGTCAGATGAGACTAAAATTGAGTTTTTTGGCCATCAAGGAAAACGCTATGTCTGGCGCAAACCCAACACCTCTCATCACCCCGAGAACACCATCCCCACAGTGAAGCATGGTGGTGGCAGCATCATGCTGTGGGGGTGTTGTTCATCGGCAGGGACTCGGAAACTGGTCAGAATTGAAGGAATGATGGATGGCACTAAATACAGGGAAATTCTTGAGGGAAACCTGTTTCAGTCTTCCAGAGATTTGAGACTGGGACGGAGGTTCACCTTCCAGCAGGACAATGACCCTAAGCATACTGCTAAAGCAACACTCGAGTGGTTTAAGGGGAAACATTTAAATGTCTTGGAATGGCCTAGTCAAAGCCCAGACCTCAATCCAATTGAAAATCTGTGGTATGACTTAAAGATTGCTGTACACCAGCGGAACCCATCCAACTTGAAGGAGTTGGAGCAGTTTTGCCTTGAAGAATGGGCAAAAATCCCAGTGGCTAGATGTGCCAGCTTATAGAGACATACATTTACATTTTTAGTCATTTAGCAGACGCTCTTATCCAGAGCGACTTACAGTTAGTGAGTGCATACATTTTCATGCCCCAAGAGACTTGCAGCTGTAATTGCTGCAAAAGGTGGCTCTACAAAGTGTTGACTTTAGGGGGGTGAATAGTTATGCACGCTCAAGTTTTCAGTTTTTTTGTCTTATTTCTTGTTTGTTTCACAGAAAAAAATATTTTGCATTTGCATCAAAGTGGTAGGCATGTTGTGTATATCAAATGATACAAACCCCCCCAAAAATCCATTTTAATTCCAGGTTGTAAGGCAACAAAATAGGAAAAATGCTAAGGGGGGTGAATACTTTCGCAAGCCACTGTAACTGGAGTGAAGATAATGAATTTATTGCCATCCTCAAGAGTAACATAAATATTGGCCTAAACATTCACAAAAGCACTCATGGGCTATCACACTTGTGCTCAGTGTTAAAATAGAGGAGCTGGCAGCCTATTTAGTTGGTGTGGAGCAGCAACTGTTGAGACAGTCAGTAGATCAGATGCAAAAATAGGTGGTATTTATTTACAGTACAGGTAATGGAGAAGACTGGATCCAGAGGTTGTATTTACAAAATATACAAATGCAGAAACATTATCCCAAAATAGCTCTGACAAAAATAGATACTTAATATTTAACTCGTTATCTTCATAAACATTAGCGTTTCCAATAAACAGTGAAAACACCCCAAAATAAGGAGAGACACGCAACCTGTGGCAAAAGTCGTGAACATGACTGCCGATTGCGCTTGCTCAGTACTGTACAAGATGACTGTATTATATTACAGATTCCTGATATGCTATAACAAGGCAATTAAAAAATTATAGAGATTTAAAAATTATAGATTTACGTTTTAGGACTTCACATTAAATTCATATAACTGTTATATCATATCACTTCTATATCATATCACCACTGGTGCAGAAACCGTATTGAGAGGAATCATCATTCTAACAGATTAGAATAGATTGATTTTGTAATAGATTTCTGATTAGGTCATTAAAAGGCTGCTGAGTGCGTCAAATTGTCTGTCCCATTTAATTATACTTTTCTTCACTCCATTAACGTATGTATGTACTGTACTTATTAACGCAGCATTGCCCTCATAACTGAGCAATCAATTTACCACACTAGGAGACCAAGTTAACATGCGCTACATATGCTCTACCCTGTACAGCCAGAGAATGGGCCCCACCCTCCGAGGGCTCGATTCAATCCGTATTGCGGAAGTTCAGTACTATAGCGCAATTGGAATTTAAAGGCAATTTCTGATTGAGCCGGCATATGCATTGTTTACCATGAATGCAGTCTCCAAGGATTAAGGAACATTGCCTTTCAACTTCAATCACACTATAGCGCTGAACTTCCGCGATACGGATTGAATCGAGCCCTGAGTCTCATTCGTCTCTAGGTTTCTTCCCTCTAGGGAGCTTTTCCTTGCCACTGTGCTTCGTATGCACTTTACTGGTCCATAGGTCAGGTTTACTTTAAAGACCTTTGCGACAACTGCTGCTGTCAAGAGGGCTTGAAATAAAATGTGTGTTGATTGTTTGATATACCTTTATCATGATTTCTCACTACCCCTTTGTCTCTCTTTATCTCATAGCTGTTCATTTTTCGAGCAATCAAAGCAGAGGGAGTGGAATTTACTCAGTGTGTGACGTATGGAAGCTTCCACCATCGCTGGCAAGAGACGGTCTACAACATGTTTCACTTTGTCACGCTTTACGTGTTCCCCCTGTTAGCAATGAGCTTCTGCTACACCCACATCCTCATCGAGATCAGCCGTCAGATGCACAAGGGCAAAGGTGTGTGTCTCTATGTGTTAGTGTAAAAGGTGAAGAGACTCTGCACACTGCATTATTTGCTCTCGTGATATATTTGACTATTGGATGTTTCGACAACACATACTTGCTTGTCATATTTAGGGCCCAAAGTTTTTACTGTCCACATGATCAGACCAGGAAAATCTCTATTTATTTTTGTACCTTTGTATATGCACTGAGCGTACAAAACATTAGGAACACCTTCCTAATATTGAGTTGCACCTCCTTTTGCCCTCAGAACAGCCTCAAATCGTTGGGGTATGGATTCTACAAGGTGTCGAAAGCGTTCCACAGGGATGCTGGCCCATGTTAACTCCAATGCTTCCCACAGTTGTGTCAAGTTGGCTAGATGTCCTTTGGGTGGTGGACCATTCTTGATACACACAGGAAACTGTGTGCGTTGCAGTTATTGACACACTAAAACCAGTGCGCCTGTGTCACGCCCTGACTCTGGGGACTGCCTCAAATCGTTGGAGTATGGATTCTACAAGGTGTCGAAAGCGTTCCACAGGGATGCTGGCCCATGTTTACTCCAATGCTTCCCACAGTTGTGTCAAGTTGGCTAGATGTCCTTTGGGTGGTGGACCATTCTTGATACACACAGGAAACTGTGTGCGTTGCAGTTATTGACACACTAAAACCAGTGCGCCTGTGTCACGCCCTGACTCTGGGGACTCTTATTTGTTGAGTCAGGGTGTGATTTTCTATGTTGTGATTGTCTATGTTATAAGTCTAGTATGTCTAGATCTATGTTGGCCGGTGTGGTTCCCAATCAGAGGCAGCTGTCGCTTGTTGTCTCTGATTGGGGACCATACTTAGGCAGCCTATTGGCACTAGTGGGTTGTGGGATCTTGTTCTGTATAAGGTTTGTTGTGTTACCTTAGGACTTCACGTGTCGTTAGTTTATTGTTTTGTCGTGTGTTTATTCGTGTAAATAAACATGTTTGCATATCCCGCTGCGCCTTGGTCTGACCCGTTCATCAACGAACGTGACAGCCTGGCATCCCATTCAAAGGCACTTAAATATAATTTCTTGCCCATTCACCCTCTGAATGGCACACATACACAATCAAATCAAGTCAAATCAAATGTTATTTGTCACATGCGCCGAATACAACAGGTGTAGACCTTACAGTGAAATGCTTACTTACAAGCCCTTAACCAACAATGCAGTTTTAAGAAAAATAAGTGTTAAGTAAAAAATAGATCGGTCCAAATAAAAAAGAACAATGCAAATAGTCCAGGTAGCCATTTGATTAGCTGTTCAGGAGTCTTATGGCTTGGGGGTAGAAGCTTGGCACTTGGGCACCGCTTGCCGTGCGGTATCAGAGAGAACAGGGTGGCTGGAGTATTTGACAATTTTTAGGGCACTGCCTGGTATAGAGATCCTGGATGGCAGGAAGCTTGGTCCCAGTGATGTACTGGGCCGTACGCACTACCCTCTGTAGTGCCTTGCGGTCGGAGGCCGAACAGTTGCCATACCAGGCAGAGATGCAACCAGTCAGGATGCTCTCAATGGTGCAGCTGTATAACTTTTTGAGAATCTGAGGACCCATGCCAAATCTTTTCAGTCTCTTGAGGGGGAATAGGCTTTGTCGTGCCCTCTTCCCGGCTGTCTTGGTGTGTTTGGACCATGATCGTTTGTTGGTGATGTGGACACCAATGAACTTGAAGCTCTCAACCTGCCCCACTACAGCCCCGTCGATGAGAATGGGGGCTTGCTCGGTCCTCCTTTTCCTGTAGTCCACAATTTTCTCCTTTGTCTTGATTACGTTGAGGGAGAGGTTGTTATCCTGGCACTACATGGCCAGGTTTCTGACCTCCTCCCTATAGGCTGTCTCATCGTTGTCGGTGATCAGGCCTACCACTGTTGTGATGTTCGGCAAACTTAATGATGGTGTTGGAGTCGTGCCTGGCCATGCATTCATGGGTGAATGGGGAGTACAGGAGGGGACTGAGCACGCACCCCTGAGGGGCCCCCGTGTTGAGGATCAGCATGGCAGATGTGTTGTTACCTATCCTTACTACCTGGGGGCGGCCCGTCAGGAAGTCCAGGATCCAGTTGCAGAGGGAGGTGTTTAGTCCCAGGGTCCTTAGCTTAGTGATGAGCTTTGAGGGCACTATGGTGTTGAACGCTGAGCTGTAGTCAATGAATAGCATTCTCACGTAGGTGTTCCTTTTGTCCAGGTGGGAAAGGGCAGTGTGGAGTGCAATATAGATTGCATCATCTGTGGATCTGTTGGGGCGGTATGCAAATTGGAGTGGGTCTAGGGTTTCTGGGATAATGGTGTTGATGTGAGCCATGACCAGCCTTTCAAAGCACTTCATGGCTACAGATGTGAGTGCAACGGGTCGGTAGTCATTTAGGCAGGTTATCTTAGTGTTTTTGGGCACAGGGACTATGGTGGTCTGCTTGAAACATGTTGGTATTACAGACTCAGTCAGGGACAGGTTGAAAATGTCAGTGAAAACACTTGCAAGTTGGTCAGCGCATGCTCGGAGTACACGTCCAGGTAATCCGTATGGCCCTGCGGCCTGGTGAATGTTGACCTGTTTAAAGGCTACGGAGAGCATGATCACACAGTTGTCTGGAACAGCTGATGCTCTCATGCATGCTTCAGTGTTGCTTGCCTCGAAGCGAGCATAGAAGTAATTTAGCTCGTCTGGTAGGCTCGTGTCACTGGGCAGCTCGTGGCTGTGCTTCCCTTTGTAGTCTGTAATAGTTTGCAAGCCCTGCCACATCCGACGAGCGTCGGAGCCGGTGTAGTACGATACAATCTTAGTCCTGTATTGACTCTTTGCTTGTTTGATGGTTCGTGCACCAACTGTTGTTTACAAATATACACAAACCGCCAACCCTTGTCTTACCAGAGGCAGCTGTTCTATCTTGCCGATGCAGCGTAAATCCTGCCAGCTGTATGTTATCCATGTCGTCGTTCACCCACGACTCAGTGAAATATAAGATATTACCGTTTTGAATGTCCCGTTGGTAGGATATTCGCGATCGTAGCTCGTCCATTTTGTTATCCAATAATTGTACGTTGGCTAATAGGACTGATGGTAGAGGCAGATTACCAACTCGCCGTCGGATCTTTACAAGGCACCCCGACCTACGTCACCGATATCTTCATCTCTTTCTCCTGCGAATGACGCGGATTTGGGCCTTGTCGAGTGTCTGAAGTAAATCCTTCGCGTCCGACTTGTTAAAGGAAAAATATTTGTCCAGTACGAGGTGAGTAATCTCTGTCCTGATATCCAGAAGCTCTTTTCGGTCATAAGAGATGGTGGCAGAAACAGTATGGACAAAATAAGTTACACATAATGCGAACAAAGCACACATTTGGTTAGGAGTCCATAAAACGGCAGCCATCTCCTCCGGCGCCATTATACTTCATATCTCATTTATCTCAAGGCTTCTTTAACCTGTCTCCTCCCCTTCATCTACACTGATTGAAGTGGATTTAACAAGTGACATCAAAAAGGGATCATGGCTTTCACCTGGTCAGTCTGTCATGGAACATGTTTTGTTTTGTACACTCAGTGTTATAATCTAACTTTTTGTACATCTAATACATGAATCAATCAGCCAGTCAGGTCCTGATCAGCTTACATGGTCAGGAAAACTCAGGGCACTTGTCATCGTCTACACCTTCAACTTACATAGTACCATTCCAAATCTCCTCACAAACTGTGTATGTCTGTTATCACTTCAGGTGGGGAGCCGTGCCTGAGGCGAAGTGGCGCTGACATGATCCCCAAGGCGCGAATGAAGACCCTGAAGATGACCATCGTGATCGTGGCGTCTTTCGTGATTTGCTGGACGCCATACTACCTCCTGGGCATCTGGTACTGGTTCAAGCCAGCCATGCTCCAGGAGACACCCGAGTACGTCCACCACGCCCTTTTCGTCTTCGGCAACCTCAATACATGCTGCGACCCAGTGATCTACAGCTTCTACACGCCCTCCTTCCGGGCTGACCTGGCTGATGTGTTCGCCTGCTGCTGCCGCTGCCGATCACAGAGCATCTCCCCGAGGTCCCTGGACCGCCTGACGTGTCGGAGGGGCAGGGCAAGCGGAGAGGCAGAGTCTGACAATCCCAGTGGCGACCAGCCAAGTGGAAACCTGGGGTAGATATCGGTGGGCCTCTTGTTCAACTGCGCTGTAAAATAATACATATGTTGACTCAACGTACAATTGTAAGACAACCAGCTGAAATAGGATTATGAGTTTGCTCAACATTTGGGCGTTTACAGTAGCTGAACTAACATACATTCTCAAGTTAAATTGTATGTTCACTCAACTTTTAATTTTAGGTTAAGTAAACATACAATTTAACTTGAAAATGTATTTTACCTTATTTGCATATTTCCCAGAGTGCCTTGCCTTTCGAGTGAATTGTATTTACCACCCATGACTGTATTTGTTAGCGACAGAGACATGGTAGATGTATTCAATGGTTTTCAGTACTGTATATATCCCCAAGTGAGTGTCTAAGTGAATATGTTATCTTTAAAATGTAACTCTTTATGATAATATATTGCATTAATCATAAGGTCTTTCTTTGAGGGCCTAGTTACACCCTAACACAGTGGTCTGAAACTCATATTTTACAGGTCACATCAAGCCTGCACGTCACATTATGTTGGCTTGCAAAGTATTGTGTAATTCCTGTTGGAATCTAGCCAGAGTGAGGATATCCAACAATTTTAACTTTTAATCACCCGCAACATGCATTCAAAATGACTGCCGGAGTAAGGAATAGTGATTATTGAGACTACCTAAATCAAATAAACTGAAACATACATCTCAGAATCGGGTGCAATAAATCCAACTACTAACAGATTGGATTAGTTTAGAAAAATGTATGTTATTTATGTTTGCGTAGCATAGGATTAATCAACCAATCAAAGTACATGCAAAAACACAAGTATTGAAACAAACAAATCTGAAAATCAACCTGCAAGAGAGCATGCTGGGAAATATGATAATGATGGTGTGGTTTTGAGATGTTTTGAGCAAACATGAATTTGCAAGTTTACTCAACAAGCTTTTTCAAATTCAGCTAATTTCGCCCAGAGATTGTTGAGTAAACACACTTTAAAACATTAGCTCAAATTCCACTCAACTCACAGAATAACACTGATTAAGCAATCGGTTAAATTGTCTGTTTTACAGTGTGTGGGATACAGATTATTTTACTTGCTGAACTCTTTAGTGCCCGTTTCCCAAACCCAAATTAAGGGCTCTATTCAATCTGTATCGCTGAAGTTCAGTTTTACAGCGTGATTGAAATTTAAAGGCAGAGACTGCATTCACGGTAAACACTGCAAATGTCGGCTCAATTGGAAATCACCTTTACATTTCTATTGCGCAATCTGTAAAGCTTCAGCGATACGCTTCACCGATACAGATTGAATAGAGTCCTAAGACTACTTAACCAAACGTGGTCAATTGAGACTCCATTGAAATCGTTTTTATAGTCTACATTTAGGCTTAATCTGGATCAGGAAAACTGGCCCTTTTTCTATTTCCTGTGTCACATACAGCTTCATAAAACTGGGTAATGGAAGAAAGGATTCCAGAACATTACCCGTATTAGTGAGTGGGTCCTACCAGTTCCACTATGAATGTAAAGACCTCCAGTGTCTTACACAGAAGACTCAAACATTTCCTTTAAACCAGTCTTTGTGAGAATATCTAGTTAACTAGTACCTTGGATTAAAAGTCAATATCTTCAATGAATGACTTTGTACTTTGGGATTGCAGTGAAGACCCTGGTTGCAATGCAGTACATTCTTAGAAAAAAAGGTGCTATCTAGAACCAAAAAGGGTTTTTCGGTTATCCCCATAGGAGAACCCTTTGAAGAACCCATTTTGGTTCCAGGTGGAACCCTTTTGGGTTCCATGTAGAGCCCTTTCCACAGATGGTTCTACATGGAACCCAAAATAGTTATACCTGGAACCAAAAAGGGTTATCTTATGGGGACAGTAGCAGAACCCTTTTGGAACCCTTTTCTCTAAGAGTGTAGATATATCTACAGAACAGTATAAACTTCCTAGAGAACTGCTTCGCTTCTGACACTAACCAAACAACTCTTATGTACCCACGGAGGATCAAATTGAATATCAAATATTTGGACCACATACTTTGGGTCTTTGGTCAGGGAGGACAGAACCTTGGGACTTCTTTTGAATTTCTGTCCTCTGGATCATCGCACAGGAATTACTAGAAGATGAACTAACTGGGCATTGTTGATGTCTCAGCAAGAACCAAACACTCATTACAACTAATTCCTGAGTAAGTCTGTCCACATGCTTCTGTATGTCTTAAACAAATGCTACTGTATCAAGACAGATATTTTTTTGAGATACAGTATAGGCTCAGTGGAATTGTTTCTGAGAAATATTTACTGCTTTAGTCAAAGGGAAGGCAATTACAATTTAGGTCTCCGTGGAGCCAGTGACGTTATAAGCTAGACCCAGATAAACAAACGCCAGTGAGTAGGCAACTGGTCATAGTTTAATAAGGAACATATTCATATATAGAGATTTGTGTTTTCTCAATGTCTTGTGTTGTACTCAGCCTAATCATCTCTGTTTACGCACCTGATATATTCAACTATTGTAATCATTCCATGCATGGCTAGAATGTTCCACAGAATCTTATTGGTCCAGTATGAATTGTGATTGCCTGGATCCAAACTGATATCAGTCTGACATTCCTCTAATAGAAGGGTACTCCTATAAATAATAACCGGTCCAATCAGCGTCCTCTTAGAACCTATGTGCAGCATGAAAACCCACATGGACTCATTTTGCAGTTTGGATCAGGTTGTCTTATTTTCACCTTTTTTTTTGTCACAGAAAAGGGTTAGTTAACAAAAATTTGGCAAACAACTACTTAGTGCTATCTCAAGTACTTCTTATAAGGGGCCAAGACTGACAAAGGCCATATTCTTTTCGAAGTCTTAAATTAGGTAATCCAAGTACGTTCCCACATATATTATACTAGCAGTGGGTAGACGGTCATCACTGAACTCTATGCATGGCTGTGAATGTATCCCTGAAAGAGGGATGCAGGTAAGTCCAGTCGTAAAGAACAGCACCTCTTCTAGCATCAACTCTTCTCCTGGCCCCTTGAGATTGGACAGGAAGTTGTCCCACTGCTTCCTGTTGCTTCCATCGTTGACAACCTATTGACCAAGAGTGTCTCGATGGTCTCAGCAGTCTGTTTGCTGTCGATGAAGCACATTGTGCCACAGAATAGCTCTGGGTGCTTCTCCAACACCTCCGATAAGTTCATCTTTAAACTTAACGATGGCTGCTTGGTTCTTCATGATGAAATGCCAGTAAAGGTACTCTGAAACCACCTTCCTCTATTATTTTTCCTTGATTTTCCGTAGGTAACGGTAGCACCCAGCGCACTTGAGCATCTGGATGTTCTCCAGCATGGTGCAACTGAAAGTGTTGAGGTCCTTTGATTGAAGAGTTTTTTCTTGACAAGATTTTCTTGACAACAAGATTTTCTTGACAACCAAATCCAACATTTATTTAGTATCAGTGGTAGCTATTCAGCAGCCTGATGGTCTGGGGGTAGAAATTATTGGCCAGTCTTCCAGTTTTCGCCATAATGTTCCTGTGCCACCCACATCTGAGTAATTGAAACGGGGAGAACATGCCATGGCTTGGATGGCTGAGGTCCATGATGTTCTTCTTGGCCTTCCTGCGACACCTTGTGTTGTAGGTGTCCTGGAGGGCAGGCAGTGTGCACCCAATGGTGCATTCGGCTACGTGTATCACCCTCTGAAGCACCTTGCGGTCTACGGCGGTGAAGTTGCCATACCAGGCTGTGATGCAGCCCGATCTATGATCAGGGGCAACTCTGTTTGGGGTAAGAGGGTCAAGAGGAGGTGAAACACATAACAAGACAGCGCAGCATCAGGTGTTCCTCATGGGGCGCTGTAACAAACCTCCTCAATTCTGATTTGTGAGCTCTTCTCACCCCTAGGACTAGCATAGAAAATAAAGAATAGAATGAGAGACAGAGAGCACCAGGGCTGTTACTCTGTGGGTAAACAGACAGGGGACAAGGGACATATCAAGCTGGTGTCCTGTGTATGTGTACTTACCTCACTAGAGGTCTCCATTCAAACTCAGTGAGCTCTTGGAAGAATGGGGCAAGGTAGGGATTGAGAACAAACAGCTGTCTTACTCTGGGCCACCTTGTCTTGCACTTTGTTCCATCTTCAGGATTCATCATCTTGGGTTGATTCGAACCTACAGCATATATCCAATATAGTTTATGAAATCAATTGAGGCATTGAACAAATACAAATAAGACAGCTAGGTACACCTACTTCAAACCCTAGCAAACTAATACAGCATTGCTATAGCCTACACAATATCACAGATTATTTTACAAGACTCACAACATTTTCCTTTCTAGCTGTGCCACCAAACGTTTGCGAACTACTGGTAAAGTGAACAGGTTTAGCTAATACTGTAACATTATGGGATTTATTTTATTTTATTAAACAAATGGTTAGAGGGAGAGGCAATATGGACAATCCTGGCATACAAAACGATGATTTATGTCGCGCAGATGAGAGCCAAGTGAACCGAATCACACAGGGTTGTGACAGCTAAGGAGGACACTCTGTCCCAGTGTTTTGACATTAATGCTCTCCCCATTGAGTAGAATATATCACGGTGACATCTAGGTGGCTACCAATATTAGTTATTTCTTGTGAAGGCTGATATCCTACATGAAATACTGTATAATCCTGGGAGGGGAAAATTCGGCACGTTACTAGTTTCCACTGCCGACACTGTGTTAGGCTACAGCTGACCTTAGGTCGGCAGGCACCTCGATACAATATGGTGCACTGGTCATTCGCATTAGCTTTAGCGGCGCTCGAGTACGGCCCTCAACACGGTTTATGTGTAGAATGCAGCCCGTCAATCCGAAAGAATATGGGTAATCTTTTTAACTGCTAGAAACAAGCCATTTTCTCTGTAGTAATGGTGGAAACATAATGTTCACGAATCTGTGCTCCGTGTATTCTCGATGGCACTCAGAGGCTGCGATACAGCCTATAATCACAATATTCAGTTAGATATTTACGAGC